GGCGGTGCCAGGGGAGCTGCAGTTGCTCCCACCCGCGCGAGCTTTCCTTGGCCCTTGCTGGCCCCGGGAGCTGCTTTTCCATCAGGGGTTTTCAATCAGCTGCTTTTATCGTAGCGGGCATTGACTTCCCAGGGCGGCTCGGCTGCCTCTGCTCCACTGTTACTTTTTTGTGCAAAATCCTTTTCCACGTAGAGCTGTTAATTCTTCAAAATAATTAGGAAGGGTTTCCCTGTGTGTGAGAGTCAGAGAGAGAAGGTGGGGGAAAATGAGTAAAACCCCGTGTGGGTGAGAGCTGGGGAAAGAGAGAAAGCGTGGGGGAGAGAAGATGTGAATGAGTGCGCGCGAGAGAGTGTTTCTGTGCGTCTGCAGCGAGGCAAGCAAAAATGTCTGTGTGTGCGCGTGTGTGCAGGTGGAGAGATGGATCCAGCGGAAAGCGAGTGTCCTGACGCCTCCGTGCCTTTCTCTAGGGTGATTCCACCAGGAACAACTACAGTGAATTTCTTCAAATCCCATGCAGGGCCAGGATCTGACCGACGGTAGGAGCCCGGTGTCGCTGCAGGCAGGAGGTCGCATCACCCGGGAGCGGCACAAGCTGCAGGGAAGCAGCAGCATCCACGCAGCCCAGTAAACACCCTGGAGAAAGGACGTGGTGCAGCGGGGCTCTGTCCATCCCAGTCTGTGCCTGACCTGCCCCAGACACCCTGACCTGAGAGCGGGGTGGGATGGGGTGGGCTGGAACCCTCGCTTGGCACCTTCCTCTGGGAGGGGGGGTGGGGGGAGCCTGCACAGCCCTCCGGAGGCGTCCTCCAAGAAGAACGACAGGGCTGGCGGTGGGAGAAGGGACCTGCTTGGTAAAAATCAATTGTAGAAGTTTATTGGAAGTCCTCTCTCATTGCAGTTTTCTTTCTGACCAGAGAATCCCAATGGAGAAATCCCTCGAAGTAAAGTGTGAGGAAAGCTACAACCAGTTTGCAGGACGCCGTGCTCATCGTCCTGCAGCGCAGGGCCGGGGCGGAGGTGCCTCTGGCCTTTTTGGTACGAGATCACCGGAGCAGCATCGGCTGGAGCCAGCTTTTGGGATGGCTCAGGCCTGGATGACAAATGTCTGCAAATGGAGGAAATTCGTTACCGGCTGTGCTGTCTCCGGGACAGGACGTGGATGAAGCGTTGCTCAGTGACAGCAGGTAAGAGCCAGCCTTGCGGGAAGCAGAGCGAGCTGCGCTGCTAAAGCGGGACGTTTATTGTGAGCTCCTTTCCCTTTCCCTTTTTCCCTTTCCCTTTTTCCCTTTCTCTTTTTCCCTTTTTCCCTTTCCCTTTCCCTTTTTCCCTTTCCCTTTTTCCCTTTCCCTTTTTCCCTTTCCCTTTCCTTTCCTTTCCTTTCCTTTCCTTTCCTTTCCTTTCCTTTCCTTTCCTTTCCTTTCCTTTCCTTTCCTTTCCTTTCCTTTCCTTTCCTTTCCTTTCCTTTCCTTTCCTTTCCTTTCCTTTCCTTTCCTTTCCTTTCCTTTCCTTTCCTTTCCTTTCCTCTTTCCTTTCCCTTCTCTCTCTCTCTCTCTCTCTCTCTGTCTCTCTCGAGGGCTGATGTCTTTTCTGAGCCGTGCTGAGGAGCTGCAGACATGTACACAACATAT